TTTATATTTTTTTACTTAAATATTATTATTTCATACATTTCAAAATATTAAAAATAAAATGTGCTTTTAAAATTTCCATCTAAAACCTAAAAATGCTTCACTTTGTTAAAATATGTCTGTATTTGGATTTATTAAATAATTTAAAATTTGAAATTGCTGACTCAGAAACAAGGGTTAAGATCCAGACGGGGTTGATTTGCAATATTTGTCAAATATTTGTATACACTATTTATTTGTGTACCCGCCCCCTGTAGAAAGCGCCCTTTGCACCCTCATTTTAATACCTAACGCCTAAGCAAACTCCGATAGTACCTAAGTACAGGGATGTTGTCAATAAGGGATGTTTGTCAAAGAATTAGGAGGGTGTAGGGTAGCCTGAGAAAATTTGCGGTTGACGTTTTACAAGAAAGAAATACATCAACAAGTTTTAGTTAAACAAATGACTATCGCCAACGAAAATTATCGTCAAAATTATTCAAAACTCAACAACTAACAACATCTAGAAATCTTAAATGACACTTTGAGACTGTTGTAGTAAATCTTACTAAGTTTACATGGATAGATGGATGGATGGATGGTTGTTTGTTAGAGTTTGTAGCCTAAACGGCTGAACGGATATCCATGAAATTCGGCTCAGATGTAGAGCATAGTCTGGAAGAACACATAGGTTACTTTTTATCCCGAATATAGTTACGGTTCCCTTGGGATTCATTACTACCAATAATCTCACAATCAGAGTTTTCAAGTGTAATAAGACTTTTAAATTAAGCATTAAAGAATCAAACCGTTACTTTAAAGCTGATGTATCGGTTTGTTTATTAAAATAGCGATTTATATCTTTTTTTCACGAGGAAATGAGGCGATCAGTCAACGTCGTGTCCGCTTAAAGTCGGCCCCTACTCGCTGACATCTCACAGATATTTTTAACGTCTTAATATATTTTTGTTGTAAGGTTGGGACTTATTATGAAAATTTAATATGCTTAATTATATAACCATAGATCATAGTGGGTGGCATAGAATCTTAGATAAAAAAAGTCGAATCAAAATAAAACATTTTATAGTTTTCAGTGTTACAGAATGATTGTGTATTTCAAATAATCACAGCTGTTTGTTAAAATATAAACAAGGAAATAGCCTCAAATTACAAAACGCAAGAGAAAACCAAATGCAAAATAGACGTCTTTATTTCTGAAAGATTAAACAACCGCATAGAGGCATCGAGTAGTGTCTAAGCTTTAAAAATGTTTAGTCGTAAGTTGAGTACATTTCCCAGAGAGACTGGTCTCTCTGATTGATCACCTGTGCAGAAATGAGCTCTTGACTGGTTGTTCCGTTTCGCAAAAGAGACGTATCTCGATACATCGGTACTGTAGCGACCTTTTTTTCTTTTTTACTGAGGAAGATAAAGTGATCCTACCTTGACTAGGTTGTTGATAAATTGTTGTTCAGAATTTTATTATAGTTAGTGCTTTTTATTTTAAAATAAATAGATGCAATAATCTATTAATGAATAACGAAGTCTTCATATTTTTCCTAATGTGTAATATTGCAAAAAAATCAACCAAAAAAGTGGGACCCACCTGCAAGCATTACCTTTCGGATTAAAAAAGAATTATCAAAATCGGTCCACTAGCGGCGGAATTATGCCGTAACACACATAAAAAAATAAAAAAAAACATACAGACGAATTGAGTACCTCCTTCTTTTGGGAAGTCGGTCAAAAATATAAAATATGGCCGTTTTTATGGCCGTTTGCAGGATTGTTTAAATGAAGATTTTTTTTTCTCTAATCAAACATTACATGCACGCTGTACACGTGTTTCTTTAGTGCCGTGCATTATAAAGTGAGATCAAATATTTACCCTGGTGGACTCAAGGGCGCGGCACACTCCCCTGTCACTTATGTCAACTTGACAGCTGACAAGTTGACAGGTGTGAGGAATTGGGCGTAATGTGACAGTCGTGAGGAGAAAGCTTATCGGTAGGAACGGTATTCTGCGAATGTGTGAAAATTACTGGAAAAAGCTGTTTATAAAATATCTGCGTTCGAGAATCTTAAGTTGTCATGTATCATACTAATATTATAAATGCGAAAATTTAGATGGATGAATGAATGGATGGATGTTTAATAAAGTTTGTAGCCTAAACGGCTTAACAGATTTCAATGAAATTTGGTATAGATGTAGAGGATAGTCTGAAAGAACACATAGGCTACTTACTTTTGTTTTTTTCCCACGCGAACGGAGTCGCGGGCGAAAGAAAATTTTTTTACTATTTGCATGAAGACACTAAATGTAAACATTTTCATTTTTTTTAATTTTCTATGAGTAATTGCTTTATATTTGTAGTATAGATTTTTTTCAAAAAAACACTACCCAATTTTGAGCAACAAATAAATAATACCAAGTAATTTGGTATTGCAAACCAATAGATTTGGTATTCTGAATTAACCTTGAAAGTAAGCAAACAAATGGAAGTATTGTCGATGTAATACAAAGAAACAAGCTCTTCCCACCCTCTTTACAATAAAAGGCGCGACAAATCTCGACATTCGTACGTTAAGTGTTTGTTTAGTGCGTGTAACACATGACTATTTAAGAAACTAATTTCCCAGTAAAACTCAAAATAGTAAGGCAAGAGGAGGCGACCGCGTGCCGCGTCCTGGGACTATTTTAGACAACTTAAGGCTATGGACACATTGCAACAGTAGTAGTTATATTTTCTGTTATGAAGTCAAACAGATTTGCACGTTAATACGAATACTAGCTGAAATTAAAAAAATTATAAAATAATATGTACCCTATGTCATTCAATCATCTTTAATGATGTAAGAATTTTTACAATACATAGAAAAATACAAAACTCTCCCCTTTTTAATATCAAAAATTAAAGATAGTTGAATCTTTAAAATGATTTAAGGAAATATTCTGAAATACTAAATACTTCAGCATTATTAAATTAATCTTGATGAGCGTAAATAGTTCAAATTATTAAAACAACGAAAGGCGTAAAATGTGAACATAGTGTACACCCACCCTAACCTACGATATCTGATTGTCGCTTGTTTGTTTCCTGTCTTAAATTAGCCGCTCCTGAGAGACGTTCGTAAGATGCGTTCCTTTTATTGCTTGAACTAAATATTACTGTCATTTTAACTTAATGAAACATATTTATAGGGTAATTAACTTACGCTTCTGATAATCTCCGCTCTGAGTGTAATTAAAAATATAAACATTACTAGTCCTTCTCAGAGAACTTGTATAGAGCTGACAATTATTAACCATTATTGAGAACGTCAACAGACTTAAATGCGTGTATTTTATGTTACTAACTTAGTTTATGAGTAAAAAGACAATAAACAAAGAGAAGTCAAAGGCATTTCAAATTATACATATACTAGTTTTCGCTCACGACTCCGACCATGTGGAATTAAAGAAAAAAAACAAAAGTCTATGTGAAGACATCTTCTACATCTATGCCAAATTCAATCGAGATCCGTTCAGTAGTTTAGGCTACAAACACTAACAAACATCCACCCATCCATATAAACTTTCGCATTTATAAAATTAGTGTGAGTGTTATAGTAGTCCTTTCTATTCTACTCAAACCGTTTTTATCACTATTACGTATCCTTATTCAGATATGTTTTAAGGACAAAATTAATTAGTAATTATAATCCTTTTCACGTTAAGTATAAGTTGTGCAGTGGTTAATTTAGCTTTGTTTTAAATAAGTCCAAATTTCGAGTCCAAGTTGAGTTGCGCACCGGCCACCAGTCTGCCGAGACTGGACTGGAGGCGGCAAGATACGGCCAAGACTAATTTTCAATTAAAACTTCATCAAACTTCAGACTAGATACCGGAACTTAATCGTATGGTATACGTGATAAGCTGAAGCGTTTTTTGCAACTTTATTAAATTAGTCTTTTATTTATGTACTATTTTCTATAAACATATGATAACTATTTTCGATAATAGTAAATAAAATTGTTCTTGTCATTTGATGGAATAAAAAAAATCTTGTCAAGTACCTACATGACTAAGGTCGATATGAAATATTAAAATACATCTAAAAGCTAATTGTAATTACAGATTTTGTATAATAATGTGGAATTAAGATAGATTAGAAAATATATAACCGTTGGTAGATTATAAATTAAACCAGTTTGTAAGATTGAATGTTCGCTAACCTTGCAAAAACTGCAGGTAGCCATCGCTACGGCTTTCATATTAATTGTTTATTTTCAAATTAGCTCAGGCCCAAGGATTGGACGGAAATTTGCCGCTTCAGCTGTATTAATTTCTACACGGTCAGCGTCTGCTAGAAATATGTAATCTGCTATGTTTTAACTATATTAAAGGAAATGTTGCATTCGTTTAGTTCATTTTAGTATAGTTAGCTTTTTGTCAAGAAAAATAAGATACTTTTTTAAATTTAGAGCTATACTTTAACGTTCTTTTCTTCGACGCTTCTATGCATAATATTTTATTATCAGTAGCGGGTGTTCCTTAAAAACATACGCCTATATTGGTTCAAATTAACACCAAGATCGTAAAGCGAATATAACAATATAACCTTTTACAAAGACGTTACCTGCGAGCTGCTAGAAGGGCTCTCCACACGTCCCCAGCAGCCGACAGTTTTGCAACGTATGATACAAGTGACGTCACAAGAGTCCTCCACCAAATTGGATTTTTATTCGATACAACGGTACAAAGCAACGCTTTACAGAAATACGCACTCTTTTTAGTTTATTGGATTCTCGGATTTTTGAACTTTGTATTTTTAATCTGTGACAAATAAACAAATGATTTTAATTATAATTTTCTTATTTCCTTCTATACGTTAAGATCACTCTATTGGCGATTGATAGTCAGTTTTAATGCTTATTATTATATTCCCTTTGACCCTGCTACTATCACAACATTCCCAAGGTTTTGTACTGACAGTTAATCTCATTGGGTAATAATTATTTTACTAAGGGTTTGTTTTTTTCAGCGTGAGGGAGCGGCGCGCAGCGATGCGGAGCGCGAGAGGCGCGCGCGCGGCGACTGGGAGGCGCGGGCGCGCGGCGCCGAGGAAGATGCGGCGCGGCTCGCCGGCAAGCTGCACGCCGCACAACGAGAGATCGCCAGGTAAGGTCACCTCTGGTACAACACAAACAAAGCTAACAGTAAACTTTAGTCTCTGAGGTATAAATACAATCATAGAGTAGACTGCAGAGAGCGTGAAGTGCAAACAAAAAAATCCAAGCCCTCAAAGACTATTTTAAGAAGGCGGAACAGTATAGCTTAAATTGTATAGTGGCTAGAATGCCAATAAATTTAGGTTTTACCGTATAAATAACTATAAAAACATAAATCTCTTTAAAATCTAGCTACAAAGCAAGGGCTATACAAGGCTCGTTAAAACTTCGCTGGAGTAATTACTTCATGTAATCAGTATTGGTAACTTGACTCCACGTCGGCGTAAAACACTGAAGCCGGCGCGATATCGAATAACATTCGACTACCGACACCGTATCGATACGACATCGATACTAGGCGATAATCGAATGTTAGGGTTCGGTTTAATTTAATACCAACAATAACATCGCTATTTGCAATCGACTTTAATCATCGATATATTTGTATACGCGGTTTTTTATCCGTCTTTTAATTTAAATATTATATTGCTTTCAAAAAAATAAATTAACTCTTAACTTTTTTAAATACTAGATTTACAAAGTCAAACAATATAAAATCTAACAAAATGGTGTTAATAATTAAAAACTACGCAATACAAGATATGCCGGTCATTTTTACATATAAACAATATGCTATATTCACCCTTTAAAGCAGTAAGGAATCGAACCGAAACCTACCGCACACTGAGTTGTACGTGACGGGAATTGTAATGGTGAATTTGTTACGAAAGATAAAACGTACAACTAGTTTAATCTCTGGACAGAGGAATATTATTCAGAATTAAAGTATGAAGTAGATAATTTAGGGCTTGTAGATATAAGCTAAATTGAAATAATCCTAAGGGGACAATGCTCTTTCGAGTCATGGGATTTTAAATCATGAGTACTAAGGAGTACTTCAGCTTTTTTTTATATATTTCCTTGTAACATTACAATTCTCTATAAAACTTTTTATTTCTCTTTAAAGAGGTGGAAAAATAATTCTAGTATTTTTTTCATAAAAAATACTGGTGAGGCAAAATTCAAAACACAATATTCCATTATTGAAGTTTTTCGAAATCGATACCGCAAACAGTACAAACAGAATTTCATTTGAAAACGACGGACACTGTGGCTTTTGCGAAAACTGTATTATTTGCAGTAGAGGACTTAATAAAAAAAATGGAATGAACACTGGCACAAACAAATACATCGCAACCGTAAAAAAATGTTTATTGGACGAATCGGGAAGCGTTCTCCTAGTGTTCAAAGCTGGAGTGTTCGCGGCGAACAGGCGTGGTGTTTTTTCTACCGTAATAATCTCTTTATTGCGCCCTCGGAAATATTTTGACGAATAGAATTTATCCTCAGCATTGAGGCCGATGGGGATGCCCTCACAGATGTAGGAATTCCCATGCCACGTGATTGACACCGGATTGTTAAACGGTTTTATTTCAATAATGATGTTGAGAGAAGCAACTCTTTCACGTTTGTTGCTTTAAATTAGTATTTTATTTACTATACATTGTTTTATTTAGTGAGTATAGTTTAAAAAATCAATTAAAAGTATGGAATCTGAGCAAATTGGGTCGCAGGTACGCTTCAGTGCCGTAAATCTCAAAGTTAGCGAAAAGTTACGGACCAGTGGCCAATCGGGAGGGCTTATCGGCGTGATGTCGATCGCTGGGAATCGAACCCGAGTTCGTTAATTATCAAGTCACTGCTATCGGAACGGATCATTTTGATTTTAAAATAAAATAACCTCCAGTTTTCGCACTTACGAAGTTGCAGTTTCGAGAGTTAAATTTAATTTATTATTTTAGGTAATACTTCTTTGTCGGTTACATAATTTGTTTGTATATCAAGAAAACAAGATAAAAATCAAACAAATACTTTACTTGTTCCCTTGTACGCAAATTGTAAAACCAGAGAAGGAACATTACAAGAATCTTTATGTATATATGAATACTGTCAATACATCGTTATTAAATGTTTACAGTCATAGAAACTATTATTCGATAGTAACTGCTATCGATTCTAGAACTATCGATTTCATCGTACTCGGCGTCTGCAAACATTCCACGTCGCACCATCAATATTCATAAAGACCCGACAAGAATCGATTCTTGGCTCCGATATCGTATATTTGTTAAATTAAACGATGTACAAATTAGATCAAGGGGCGACGCTGTTCTGATTTTATATTGAGGAAACATGAATGCTGGTTCTAAATATCTGATTGTCTATTTGAATATTGACTGCCAAAACAACAAGAATTATAAAGTAGCTATCAGAATTTAAAAAAAAACAAAAGCGAATAGCCTATGTGTTCTTTCAGGCTTTCCTTAACCCAATATCTATACCCAATTTTATCAAAATCCGTTCAGCAGTTCAGGCTACAAACTGTAACAAACATCCATCCATCTAAACTTTTGCACTTACAATATAACTAGCTTTAGCTCGCGACTCCCTCCGCATGGAATTAAAAAATCAAAAGTGAGTAGCCTATGTATTCTTCCAGACTATTCTCTACATCTATACCCGATTTCATCAAAATCCGTTCAGCCATTGAGACTACAAACTCTAAAAACATCGATCCATCCATATAAACTTTGACTTTATAATATTAGTAAGAACTTTTGCATTTACAACATTAGTATGAAGTAAGATGAGAACTTTTACTACTCAGTAGAATAATTGATATTACGTATCCGCTAACAAACTAACCGTGGCCTTATTATTTAATACTCTGTTACCCATTTCCATAAGCGTCCATAAGCGTCCCAGCAGTGTAATACTATAATAGTAGTATGTCGTTTTATAGACGACATTTAATCGATTAATCGACTACAACGAATCGCTTTGTTTTAAATAACTTTGTTCTCATAAAAGATTGATCCAGTATGTTTTACGAGAATATGTTTTAAATATATAAACAACCAAAGTTATATTTAACCATGAACTTGTACTAGCAGATCCCGACCTAATCCACGCTTAGCTATTTACGGGCCACCCTAAGTCGTAAAACTTATAAATAATAAACGGGTGGCAGTAAAAGTCGCGGTATGGGGTAGTACCGGGGATGGATATCTGTGCATTGCCTCACGAAATGTTTACTATAGGGTTGGTATGACGGTATAAAGTAAACCATAAGATATGAAACTGCTTTGGTTAGTTACCAATTTGAATACAACCATTTTTTAAGTGTACATACATGTCTATTTTTGGGGATTCTTAAATTACATATGATTTGTAAAGCTTTCTGTCTTCGTTCGTTTTAGAGAATAAACTATTCTTTCAATTATTAAATTATAGATACGCACATTCTAACAAATAGATTATTGTTTTGTATAAAATTTTAATATATAAAAATCTTACTAATAATTTAAATGCGTAAGTGTAGATGCATGGATGTTAGAGTTTGTAGCCTAAACTGCTGAACGGATCTTGTTGATTTGCCATAGATGTAGAAGATAGTCTGGAAGAACACATAGGCTACTCACTTTTTTTTGCAATCCCAGTAGTGACGCGTCTAGTGTATTAATAAATGGTGAAACACAAGATAACATTGTTAAATAAAATCTATTTATAAATGTATTGTATCATTTGTCAGTTAAAACATTTTAATAGAAAACCCGCGTGTCGCCACTCAACTAAAAATAATATGACATTCGATATTTTCTTTCACCTCCACCACCCACTTTTACACCCTTTAAAGCGGGTGAAGAAATTTAATATCTTGGAAAGTACGGAAAACCATTATTACTGTTTTGATTTTTAAACAAAAATATCATTTATACGAAGATTTATCTTTCAGTCAACACTTGACATTTGGCAAGTCTGTGGAGTTTTGAGTAGCTGTTGATTTTTCTTGAAAGATGATATTAAATCAGGGGAAAGCCATTTTTCAAATTACGTTTCATCTTTCAAGAAAATGTTTCAAATATCTAAAATACACGAAAACGGTCAGCGACAACTTCAAGTTACATTTCGAGTGATTACCAGGTCTTAGTCAAATTTAAGTCAAGTCGAATTTAATTTGACTAAGAAACATGATTTTAATTAAGACCAAAACATTTTTAACACAAACAAAATTACATCAAGATAAGACGTAACAAACATCCAGCAATAAAAATTTAACTACAGCCGAATTAACAAGCGATGTGTACGCGATCCGACACGACTACGTAACGATGTCGACCCCCTACGTTCTGTAATTGTCTGTTTTATTTGTAAGTCGACACCACCCTCCAACCCCCAAATTATTACGACGAAACATAATACTATGACATATAATACCGAACATCGAATGACCGAACACTTGAAAAAATAGTCGTTATCTAACAAATAAAACGTCTCGACAAGTTTTACACGAGGACAATGACGCAGAACAATACATAGGCAGTGCTGTTAACACACTTCAGTTATGCTTACGCACCAGGCTAGTAACTTAGTCGAATATCGAGTGATTTAGTAACTAAATGTGCCTGAAAATATTGTAGATGAGAGTATTTTATTTATCGATTAAATTTCTCAGAACGGCTAAACTATAGACTGGTGCAAAATGCACTTACGACACGCCTTAGGCTATATATTTTCACGCTATTAAACTTAAATAAATCGGTGAAAACCTTAATGTGAGAAAGGGACCGTAAACTACAAGCTACCAACATCAAGGAAGTAAAATTGCCATGGCTGTCAATTGGGCATTTGAATTTTAACATTTGCAATTGAATATTTCACAAATGTAAAAAAAAGTTTTTATACATGATGAAGCCGCACGGAAGCAGTTAGTTATACAAAACATATTGTTCAGCAATTTTTAAAACTAGCTGTTCGCGTGCGGATTCACCCGCAAGAAAACAAAAAGCATTTATTTAATTGTTTACATTAGTCAAATTATCAATTGCGAATGTCAAAATAACATGAAATGACAAACCATTGTAATCTTACTTCCTTGATGTTGGCAGC